TTTGAGCCGAATTTTGATTTTAGGGGTGTAGCCCCCCCTTAATAACACACCTGCTGTTGGGCTCTTCAGTTCTGTCTTGTTCTTGGCCGGGGTCAGTATTGTCCAGACGTCTTTCTGGGGGTCACAGAGGTCATCGGCCACGTCCGAGCTGACCCCTTGACCTTTCATCATTTCCCTGAACACACCCAGCGCTGTGCCGTTTCTAATGGACTGTCGGAGCTTGTCTGTACCTTCCTCCACCGAGTCGGCTTTACCGGATGCTGCTAGGAGTTGACCTCCTGGAAAGGATTTTTAAAAACATGTTTTAGTAAGAGTTTTACGGTACTTGCAACACAATTAGGTCATATGAGTGCCGAAGATTACATGTGTTACAAGGGAGTAGCTTGCAATACAATTAGGTCATATGAGTGCCGAAGATTACATGTGTTTAATTTTATTAAGAGACTAACTTGCAACACAATTAGGTCATATAAGTGTTGAAGAGTACATGTTATATTATGAGAGTAACTTGCAACACATATATATACGTGCTGAAGATTACATGTTATATGAGAGTAACTTGCAACTCAATTAGATGTATAGGTCATATAAGTGCCGAAAATTACTTCTGTAACAATAGATCAACAAACATTAAAAAGGAGGAGGAGGAGGAGGAGCAGGAGGAGGAGGAGGAGGAGGAGGAGAAATAGAGATGATAGATGTTTGGTAGGAAAGAAGAAGCAAACCACACCAGAGCACCCGCCACCAGGGAAGGTGAGGGAAGGGTTCACGAGTTTGTGATATAACGAGGGTCAAGATTAAGGTCTTTATGTCAACATGTACGGTCGAAATTGTTCAAGCCGACAACCATTGTCGAGGAGTTTGTTTGCCTTTCGTTTGAGTATATTATATGGTCGCTTTTAATTAAGGATCTCGATTGGGCTTTGTTTCTAGAAATCTTGACCTACACCAAAAGTGGCCATTGCCCTACCTATAGGAGAACTTTGGTTACATTGGTGTGTATATTTGTTTGGTTATAGAGAAAACCCTCCTTGTCTTTTAAAGAAACTGAACAAGGGGCAAAAACTTTATCTTCGATTTTCTCAAAACAGCATTTTTCGAGATACCCCCCTTGTGCTTAAAAGCGGCAAAATAAAAAGAGGCACATCGACATAATAAGGGTAATAGTGGGGGGG